TATATGTAGCATGTGAAAAAGTATTTTTTGAAAAAAATTTTCTACGAAAATTCTTACGATTTCATAAAATATTTATGGTCGCTGAAACAGAATAATTATTCAATTTTATTATTTTAATGATATTTTCCAATTTATTACGTATCAAAAATATGCCTTTACGAACTCGAATTGGGGTTAGTTTTAATAATTAAAATAATGAAATAATTTGCAGATTTAATAAGCTAATGTATCAAATATTTTTAATTGCATTTACAGTCAAACATTTCTATCAAATATTGGCACAACCATCAGAACTAGCACGAGAAGGTAAGATAATTATTAAATTATCATCTGATTGATATGATTTTGTCAACCACTTTAAAGTAACTTTTCTATTAATTGCTATACTTTTACGTCAAAAAAGTAGATAAAATCAGGCATAAACTCTTATCTTTATAAAATAATAAGATGAAGAATTGTGCATTTAAATGGATGTTAACGAATTAAAAATTTAAATTTGATAGGGCAATCAATAGGAGAAGGAAGAAAGAAAGTGAAAAAGAACAATTGAATGACAGAGAAATAAAATGAAATTTCAATGAATTAAAAAAAAGAAAATAATCAGAAAAATTATTGATTAAAACTTCGGAAAGTTTTCCATACCATGAAAATTTTAAACTATTCTAACTTTCAATTTTTCTACAAACATTTTATGTGCAGTCTAAAATTTTTTTAGCTCCTCTTACTGTTACAATATAATCTTTAAATTTTCAAATTAATATTCAATTAAAAAATTAAATTATAAGAAATTATCAAATTTCTTCAAATTTTTATCTGCAGTAATACATTTTTGTGATCCATCAATACCCAATGCTTGCGGTTTGGAAGGAAAATGTATGCGACATTTAACTGGTAATCGGTGTCGCTGTCCATCCGGTCGTATGGGTATTATGTGTCGCAGTGAGTGAAATTTAAAAATTCCTTCCATTTATGTGCATATTTGAAATTCAAAATGAATTTAATAATTCAACTTAAAATGAATTTGTAATCGTTAAAAAAAATTAATCGATACATACAAAATAAGCTAAAATTGTACACATATATAGGAAATCTTTGAAAAGAAAAAAACAAATATTTTTGAAATATCAAATGTTCAATTTGAATCTTTTCTTCAATAAAGATTTAGCTTTAAATTTAAAAATTTTCAGGACCTTGTCAGGATATTTATAAATCATGCGGAAGTTGGAAGGAACAGAATCGATGTCAATGGGCTAAGTTTATTTTACCATTCTTTGAAGATAATTGCGCGGAAAGTTGTGGCTCATGTCAAAATAATGGCCGATGTTAGTTTAAATTAGAAAAAAAAAAAAATTTACTATAAAATAATAAATTCTTCACTTCAGCATTTTCTATTGATTCGTTTCGGTCCTATTTGATTAAACTTCATTGATAATAAAATGAAATCTTACGTTTAAAATTATAGGTATCATCTTTTTTTCTTTTTGGAAATGGTAAAAAATAATGAAACAATTCAGTTTAAAAATTTAATTGATAAAAATTTTGCTTTTAAATTTTTTATTGAAATGTTTTTTTTTTACAAAAAAACTAGCATAGCTTACATTAATTTTGTCTTGAATATTTTTCAATTTTTAAACAGAAAATTTAACAATCCGTACACATATGCTAACCATTTCTTTCCATTTTCAATTTTCGCATGCCATTTTAAAAATTCTTTCTGGTGCCATTTCGAAAAATTTTATTGCACAATAAAATAAATTTAGTTAAACTTCAGTTAGACGATTTCGTCTCCGATTAATCATTATTTATCATTATCTATTCCAAATATCAATGTAAAAAACATTCACAAATATTTAAAATAATATTATTTCAAATTATGATTATTGGATGCAAACCACATTATTATAACTGACAATTGAAATTAATTAATTAATTACTGTTCCATAAATTGTTATTTATTCGTTGCTTCTTAATTATTATATAAGTATTAATTTAAAAAGATTTCTTCTTGTGATCTAAAATTATCACTGGAACAATGAAGTTTGTTGAAAATTACTACTAGTATAACTATTTGAAATTAATTGATGATTACTATTCATCAATCATTTTCTCATAATCATTTGAAATTACCACTTTAAAACATCATTATTTTTAATAATATTATAATTGTTATTTGAAAACAACATATCATTTAGCTAAAACTTTTAGCAATTTAAATTAATCGCTGTCATTCTTTTCTTCCTTTTGCGACTGAATAATGATTTTAAATTGAAATATTTTGAATTATACTTTTAAAATACCACATTATTGTTTTTATCTTTTGCAGTTTATTTTGTAAATTTATATTAGTACATTCAAATTTCCAAAAAAAATGAGAATAAAATTGATGGAAAATATTCTGAAAAATGCGAAACTGTTTGTGTAAATTATTTATTAGTACTGCTCACGTTTTGACCCAATTTTCAATGAAGCAAATAAAAAGTTTAAGACAAGTTTTATACAAAAAAAAAAATTATATCAAAATGCATTAATCAATTACATTTTTCTAAGTATTAGATATTGTGGATTCCACGTATTTTTTTAATGTTAATTTGTTCCATAATTTTTCTATTTATTCAAAAGCAATGATTTCTGTAACTGTCACATTAACAAAATGTTGGTAAATAATGGTCAATTAATTAATTTGAAAAAAAAATTAAAAATTTGAATCAAATATCTTTTCAGAATTGAACTCATTAGCGCTAAAATTAAAAAGCAGGAGAATTTAATAAACATATTGAAATTTGATTTTTTAAATTGTGTTTTCTTAGATTATTTATTAAAAATAACTGAAAATTTTATCAAATATTTTTGAATATTTCCGACTTTTTTTACTGTATATTTTGAATATTTATGAAGCATCCTTAGCCAATTGTCAATTTTTAATCAATATTTTTGCGTGACTTTTGAATTCGATATTTTTCTTTAGAAAGTATTTTTCAAATATAATAATGCATGAAATATATATTGCAGTAATAAATTATATGCTTATTAAAATTTAATATTCCAATAACCATATCATACTTTCAGCATTAAAAATTCCATTACCTCCTATTCTTGAACCAATATCATGGTTGATTGGCCGTTGGGAAACGGAAACATCGGTCGGTGATCGATTTCCGGTACCATTTGAACATCCATACAAGGAGGTTTTGGATATTTCACTTACCGATGTGCCAATGTTCGATCGACCACCCGTTAATGTTTCGTTGGTGTTTTCTATCGAAATACTTATGCATACATTTTTTTCTCATTCAAAAAAAGAAAAAAAAAACGAAATAAAAAAACGATTCAATTCAAAGGTTGAGTCGTTTCTACTACAGTACCACTTCACATTACAGTAGCTTATTTTCCACTACGGTATCTAATTTTTCAGTTCTCTTTCACTACAGTATTCAGTTTTCCAATCTAAATGTTATATGAAAATTAAATTAAATTTCTACAGTGTATTATTTTTTACTATTTTACTATATTATTTTACTATATCAACTACTATTTACATTACAGTTCTTTCATTTTCCATGCATTTTCGTCACGGGTATCTAATTTCTAATTTCAGATATATTAGTATCTAATTTCCAACTTCAAATATATTAGTATTTAATTTGAAATATATTTAAATTTAGTTACCGGTCAACATCGATCAATCATAAGAACTATGAATAAAAGAAAATTTGTTTAGCATTAGAGCATATACTAACGAGGGGTCAGAATATAATGAAATTGGCTTCATAACTGGAAAACCGTTCCGTGAATTTACCGGATTCCAGGAAAACAATAAACCGTTAACTGGAAATGATCAAGTTGCTATTGAAATGGTCAGCAATACAGGTACTGTTATTGCTTGAAAATTATTCCAAAGAAAAAAAAAAAGATTAAACTTGAATCTATACGATATAGATCTTCTACTTTTCTGTATATATGTTATATTTATAATTCAAAAATTGAATGATCAATTTTTATTTTATATGACATGAATTTGTACTTTCTTATTTTTATGTATTTAAAAATTTTAAAAAATTTTCTGGAACTGCTTATGTTAGCAAAGATAAAGTTTGTAAAAAGTCTAACTTTATCCCATGGGATGCAAATTAAATTGAATTTCACTTAAATTTTGAGCAAGAAACTAAACAAAATAATTTTAGGGGAAAAAAAAAACTATCTTTTATCTTTACGCTGAATCTAAGCTCAAATAAATTTCACAAAAACATGCCTAAATAATATCATAAACTAAAAGGACAGTAAATATTGAAAATATTTGTACATAATCATTAAATTTACATCGAACTTATGATAATTATGTATTATTATAAATATTTGGAAAATCAAGAAAGTTAACACTATATATTTTTATTCAAACAAAAAAAAAATGATAATATAGCGAT